TAAGGAAAATCATGGTATTTAAGGTTTAAAAAAGGGAAATATTACAGACAACAAAATACGTACTAACCTAATTTGTAACTAAAACTTGTCATTTTTGCGCTGGACTAATAATAAACCTAATAAAAACTCTTGTATTATATGACGTCAGCTTTAAATAAAAAATAGCCGACATGAACTGACAATACATTCCAAAGATATTGTACTTATTTAGATCGCTTTAGTAGACTTCTTTGTTAATACACGCTTTATGTTAGCTTGACCTGATGTTACATATGTATGTTTTTTGCTGTATAGCATACAAGCAGGCCAGACAAAGATTGTTCTTTTTTTTTGGGTGTTTTACAGCACCAGTAAACTCGTTCTGCGTAGATCGGACCTAAAATAAATATTCAAAACTGAAGGTAGCCGGGCCAACTATGACATTGAGACGTCAAACATTCCGTGACCATGGGTGCTATAAACCACCCGAAACGTCGGAAATTAAAAACAAATTAATTAAACGCGATAAAATCCGTATAAATAATTTTATTCAAGAAGGTTATCTTATTTAATAGTATTTCTAGTAGATAAGTGAAATTTGACATAGTTAATTAAATGCGATTACCCAAATACAGAATTAAGGTGAAAATAATATTTTTTTATTTATATGTTAGTTTTGGGAGGAAAAGTGAGTGTTCGCAGGAATTGCATGACTTAATTCCTTCCTGTCATTTTGGATTGTCAATTCTGTTCACAACGACTGGCCTCCACTTTTTTATTGTCGACATACGGGTATCACGCAATTCAACCAATCGGTTTACTTCGTCGTGTGTAATGTGTACAGCAAAGGAGTAGAATAATATTCCAGCATCTGTTTTTTCACCCGATTACAATGTCGATCTTCAAGATAAAAGTGAATAGACTTTTGTTAAACTAAGTCATTGCGTTTTACTATCTTTGGCTGCAGCAACACTTAACATCAATAGTGATAGTAGTGGTACTGACTTAAAATAGTAAAAAAAATTTATTAAAAAATTGAAAATATCTCGTAATAAAACGCAGAATAATTTTTGTATAATTTGTATCAGTAGTTATTCTAAATATATGCCTCACATCGTTGTCCACTACCGTATCTTCAAACTTCTAAAGTATCGCTGAAAGAAATCTGAAAATATCAGTTTATTTTTTATATTTCGCAAAAAAATATTTTAAATTGCTTTCCCCAGTATGACCCCTAATTGTTATGTTCATTGTAGTATTTAAGAGTAATTTAATTAGGAAGGAGAGTTCTTTCGGAAATCTTTGTTTTTTCTGGCATTGCCACATTATAGTGTGATGAATTTTCTTATGCCGCCAACGCAGCCTATAATCTATTAATATTTTATTGTTTTTAATCTAGACCTAAATGATTATGACAGACGTCACCATTTAGTAAATTAAAACACCTACTGTAATATTTATTTATCTGTGCCCATTTCTTTTATCAATCGAATATAAAGTTGATGGAGAATCATGTAGGCGATACAACGTGTAGTCTCCCGCGAACCTAAACATCATTTGTTTGTATTGGTATTACAAAATAATATATTAATTTTTTTAATCAAAATAAAAATAATAGCGGGAAATAAAAATGTTAGTGTTCATTATTAAACAAATTATAAGAAATTTAAATACAATGGTTTAACTTTTTTGATGTGATTAGTGTGTTTAAGAATATCTGTAATAAAACACGGAAAATGAGATCTAAGGTTTTTTACAGTGAATCTAATACAACAGAAAATAAAGAATATTTCGATATAGACGATGTACTTAGTGATACTTTTCAAAACACGAGTATAGCAATTTATATAGTGTATGCCTCAGTTGTTTTGTTTACAATATCTTTTAGTTTAACCATTTTGCGTATACTCTTATTAGGTAAGGATTTTTTTGTATTTATATTGTACTTTCATTGTCTTTCCGAAATATAAAATATGAGAATACTTATGGGGTTCTATATTTCTACATTTTTTATAACTTTGGTACCTTTGCCGTATAAATGTGTAACTATAAATGTTTCACTTTAAAACAATTTTAAGTACATTATCGGAATATTCTTAAAAAACAGTGAGAAGCCACGGGACGGTTCGTGTTTACTGTAAAATTATTTCAAATTAATAATGGTGACAAACGGAAACACAGTTAACCTGATGATATGTGAATACTGTGGTCTAGATCTATTCTCGATTAAGAATCAAATCAAATCAATGTAAATGCATTAAATGTTAAATTTTAAATTGTTATGTTACCTTTGATGACTAAGATAGAACGCATCGTTACCACTAAAAAGTTAACCCATTAATTTCATTTCTCTTACTGAAGATGATACTAAGCGATCCGTCCTTGCAATTTTATCTACTGCTATTGGAAATGGTAACATCTGCTCTTAAATGATTACGTTGATTTTTCCCATTTTTCTCCCTATTCTTACTCATATTATTCCTATACCTAAAGTTTTAAACTCTTCATCTACAATTCATTATCGGCCTATTTCTATCCTACCATTTCTTTCAAAATTGCTTGAACATATTGTCCACATAAAATTATCTAAGTTTTTTAACCGTAACAATAACTTAAGTACTTTTCAATCTGATTTTAGGAATGACCAGAGTACAAATAGTGCTTTCCCTAAGGTTAAGGATGATATCCGATGGGGTATAGACTAAAATTACTTAACGGTAGTTACACTGTTGAACTTTAGTAGTGCCTTCAATTTTATTGATTTCGATATACTTCTTAGCATTCTTCATTCTATTAATAAATAAATAAATAAATAAATTCTCTTTATTTCAGGCACATATCACCCATATAAATTTCCAACCAAAAAAAAAAGACAATGCAGTACAGAATTACTAACAATTAAAAATAATTATATTATAATAATATCTAAGTCTAAATGGAGGGAACCATCACGTCAAGCAGCTATCTTAAGCCATTTTTGATAAAAGGCTGTGGCCGGCAGTCTTTCCGCAAACTCACTAATTATCCTGTTTCTACAATGTGTGTCTTTCAATTATTCAATAGTTTGATTCCTACTTCCATGGTTGTTATCAGGGTATTCGTTCAAATGAAATTTTATCTAAGTGGTGTAACTTAGCTACGGGCGTACCTCAAGGTGGCGTCCTTTCTCCCCTACTCTTTTCCGTCTTCATTAACTGTATCACTAAGGTGATATTTTCAAACTTCCATCTCTTAGAAGAGGATTTGCAGCTGTATCGTCACTTTCTGGCGACCGAAGCAAATTCAGCAATGTGTGAAATGAATAAACATCTAAATAAAATCTATGAATGGTCTAGGTCATATGAACTTGTCATAAACTAAAAAAATCACAAGCTATGGTCCTAGGCACCAGGTTTACTCGTAGCTTACTTGCTTTTACTTCACTCCCAACTCCACTAAGCATATATGTCAAGAATCTGGGCATCAGATAAGAAAATTAGTTATACTTTTCATTCATTATAATGCCTTCAAAGTTTTCTGCCTTTATTAACGAAGATTTTTTTGTCCAAACACTTATTTTCCCGATTCTTGATTATCCTGATGTCTGTTGTTTGGATGCGACTGAGAAGCAATTGAACTTCGTGGGAATACCCGAAACTTTTGTCTACTCTTTAACATGCTAAACAATTCAACATCACCGCCGTATCTACGTGATCCCGAATCTATTCCCACGATGCAGTTTGAAGATCACATTTAAAACGTAACTATTCTCACTCTAACAGTACCTGCAGTAAGGTTACGAAATTCTCGTCCTGCTTTAACTCTTGAGGCACAAATAGTTTCAGTGTCCAAAACGCGAGTTAAAGAATACATCTTTCTTTGACGTCCCAATGATTATTTTGTTTTATCTATATGTATTTAAGGTTATGTATGTATGTATTTATATGTATTTATTATCTTTATTATATTATGTTTATTATAGCGTTTATTATGAAAGTGCACACATCTGCTTGAATGCTGAAAGAAATTTCAATATGAAATAAGCGGTGCCTTTGTACAAAGTATCCTTTTATTTTTCGTTGTAACATTATTTTGCTTGTCAGAAATTGTTAAATAAATAAAAAGGGCCTTCGGTTCTCAAATATACAATACATCTTACACGAAATGAATGCAAATCGGACACACGCCAGTATTCTGTGACAGCGTGGTGCTTTCCCAGTCGAGCGGACACATTTGTGCTGCAACTATAATTAAACTGCAGCGTGGCTCCATAACGTTAAAACAAACTAATAAGTTAAAATCTACTTAAAACCATTCTCATTTAAAAAACGGATGAAACTGGATGGTGCGATTTTGTTTGCCCATTTGAAGTATTAATTATGAGTCTAGATCATACATTATTAGCTTATAGAAAATAAAAATCAATATTTTCAATCGTTCTGAGAGAATTTAATACGTGGAGATCCACGCTGCAGCTATATTATGGTTGTAGCACAAAAGGGTCGGCTCGACCGGGGAAGGACCACGCTTTCACAGATTACCAGCGTAAGATAGCAGCTTAATAATGCTGTGTTTCATATGGTGAGTGTAGAGAACTGGAGACCCTGTTTTATCAGAAACGAGGCATTCCATCCTAGACCTGAGGGGTGACATCGCATCTGCGTTTTAATTCTTAATCGAGGATAAATGTAGATATCTTTGGACCACAGCATCCACTTACCATTAGGTGGACTGTGCTCTCGTTTGTCATCCTAGTTCTATAAAAAAAGTGGAAAAATTGAAAAGACTAGTAATAAATATGCAAAATATTAAGTAGCCGACCACTGAGACATTGTTTTGTCGAATTACATACTCCAGAAACTGATAAACTTTTATTTTGAAAACGCAACTTCTCAATTTAGGTGACAGAAAGAGTCGTGGATGCGTGGCATTGTCGTGTGATCGAATGTCAGCGAAACATAATCTTATTTTTTAGGTGAAACTTCTTTACTTTACTGTTGCTATTTTACTTAAACTAAACTCGTTTCATTCTTGTATTTCAGGACAAAAAACGCGCAATGCGCAAGGGAGGCGACAGTACATAGGGACGCGGGCGCGGCCGTCTCTATCGCAAGTGGAGCCAACGATATATGTCAGCCCCGCCAATCTACCCCCACCGCCTAAGTATGGTGAGTTAAGAAAATGTTTTGCATTCAGCAACAATTACAATAAAAATATGCTTGAAGAGGAAGGCTACCATAAGGGAGAGAGATAATAATGTTTTTTTTATATAGAATAAGCGTGAAAAACGGGCACACAGTCCACCTGATATTTTAACTGTAATGCTTCTCTTTGACACCGTTTATTCCTAATTGTTGATATTATCTTGCTGTAGGTAATAATTACTATAACACAATGCATCTTTTTGTAATCTTGGGAAGGAGTGCCTCCATCCCGGAGTCGATAAATTCCGTTTCATGGTAGTGTCGCGTAATTAAAAATCACAAGTATCGTACTTAAAAGGAGATTCCAGCCGTTAGTCATGTTACTATGTAACAGATACTGAATTAAGATTTTTCATTTTCATTTTCATTTTTACCTGATAGTAAGTGGATGCTGTGGCCTACAGATATCTACATTTGTCCTCAGTTAAGAATCAAAATGCAGATGCGTTGTGACCCCTGTGTTGTGACTACGTTGGCATGCCTCGTTTTCACGTTGTATTAGTCTGTAAATAATATTTTCTGCAACACGCAACTTTTATAGAGTAGCGTGTGGAGAGATGCTTTGGAAAGATGTCGTTAGTGTCGGCATCTTTTGGGGAGTTAGATATGTAAGATACGCGCTCTTAGCGTTCTTTATCAGGGAACCTTTGTAGCGACAACGTTAAGCAGCAGTGTGGGCAGAGCAGGCATCCAGGTTTAAAGTTGCGGCTAAAGAATTAGGTACCACTATTCCATATCATCTCGTGGCTTTTGTAAAAGGCTGCAGAGGGAATCTATAGAGAAGGCGTATTTTCAGCAGTTGACCTTTGATCCCATACAGCCTATTTTGGATCGATGGGTGGATTTAAACTGGTCCTATTACGGTAACAAAATTAATTTCTTAAGTATTTATTACATATATAATAGCTCAGTGACCAGCAAATTTATACGTGGTAAAACAATGCCGCAGCTACATATATTATAGTTGTAACACGAAAGAGTCGCGTCGACCGGAAAAGGACCACGCTCTCAGATAATACCAGCGTAAAATAGCAGCTTGATGCTGCTGTATTTCGTATGGTGAGTGAAGAGAACCGGAGATCCGTTTTACTGGAATCGAGGCATTCCATCTTAGTCCTCAGGGGTGACAACGCATTTGCATTTTGATTCTTAATCGAGGATAAAATGTAGATATCTATGGGCCACAGCATCCACTTATAAAAAAAGTGGAAAAATTGAAAAGACTGTTAATAAATGTGCAAAATATTAAGGTAATAATACCAACTATTGAGACATTATTTTGTCGAATTACATACTCCAGAAACTGATAAACTTTTATTTTAAAAACGCAACTTCGTAATTTAGGTGACGGAAATAGTCGTGGATGCGTGGCATTGTCGTGTGATAGATAACAACGAAACATAATCTCATTTTTGAAGTGAAACTTCTTTATATACGTAGTGGAGTAATTTAGTACGGTATTAATAACTCATAAACATCACGTTCTTTTGTAACGTTTTCTTAAAACTTTTCACCGCCGGCGTTGTATGAGTATACTATTATTTAAAGTATAAATTAAAAGAAGTATGATATGTTGTAAAGAAGTTTCACTTCGTACGTGTGCACACAGTTATATGCAAATTTTCATACGAAGTAAGTAAGAAGCGAGTGTGGAAAATGCAAGGAGAACATTATTACTTCCGATTGAAAGTGGTATGACCAACTCGTTTATGACACACCTAAAATAATTACACAGTCATAACATTCTATACGTTTTATACAGAATCAGAAAATAGGTACTAGAGACGAACACATATACTGTATATCAAGTCTTTGCTGTGCTTTTTATATAAGTACAAAACAACAATTATCTAATTTCCGATAATGTTATTGCTGTAAGCCTTTAGCTTTTACAGCTTTTGAATTTGAATCATTCTGCGTGGTTACTTGCGTAACAATGAGTTCTATGACTGTGTACAGTGCACGTGGATGATTTATCTAACGGCCGTCCGAAACTCATGTCGTTTGATGTTCTGGGCGACGAGAACCGCCCAAACAATTATAAAACATTATAATACTGTAATGTAAACCTTATACGTGGTAGAGCCACGCTGCAGCTATATTATGATTGTAGCACGAATAGGTCGGCTTAACCGGGGAAGGACCACGCTCTCACAGAATACCAGCGTAAAATAGCAGTTTAATACTGCTGTGTTTCGTATGATGAGTGTAGAAGATTCGGTGACCTTTTTTTTACTAGAAACGAGACAGTCCATCTTAGTTCTCAGGTGTGACAACGCATCTGCGTTTTGATTCTTTATCGAAGATAAATATAAATGTCTATGGGCCACAGCCTCCACATACCATCAGATGGACTGTACGAGTATATAAATTGACGTTTAGAATGGTCTCGCCTTTGCGCCCTCCTTTCTGCCAAGGAGGGTCGCGTTCGTATACGGCTTAGAGATCTCTAGTCAGATCGTTAAGCCAATTTCTAAAAGGTTGGGTTTAGTGGGTAAAAGTCTCCACATAACCACGCAGCCGGCTGCGTGGTATGCTATGAGCATTCCCAACCTCCCTCCCCCGCTTTCCGGAGGGTTGCCCATATTTGCTTCGGGCGCAAAAAAAAATGGTCTCGCCCGCCAGTGTTCTAACGGGGCGCACTACGCTTGACATTCGTAAAAAGTCTGTGTAGCCAAAACTTACCTTGTAGTGGCGGTATAAGAATATCCACTATCCCGTATTATACCGTGATTGTCGTAAGACGCGACGGTGGGAAGTGGAAATGGACATGGGCAGTAATAACGACTAAAAATAAAAAATGCGGTTGCCAACCCGTTTGCCAATTTACCAACTATGGCAGATATCCAACATATGAGGAAATTAAAAGGCCTATGTTCAGCAGTAGAGTTTAAGAGGCTTTCACCACCACCACCACCACACCACACCAACCAAAACTTCAGCTTCGACCACATCTGTGGCTGATTTTGGCTGAATGCGGAATGTGCAGTCGGAGGTGAATTCCTTTGGCCGTAGCTTCGTGTCGACGCCTTGGTCAAAGAATTCACCTCCTTTGGCCGTAGCTTCTTCCCTATGTCGCTTACGACACTAACAGGACGAAATGGTGTATGGGATGGACATTCATCTACCGCCACTACACGGTCAATCACTCATTATTTTGATAATCATCATGCATCAGTATGAAATAATTGTAATTTAAATAAATAAATAACGATAACACTTTTTTTATTACAGAGGCGATGGCTCCACCCAGCTACGAAGAGGTAGTCGGCATACACTATCCGAACTACCAGCCGACACAAATACAACCAATCGCACATCCCATAGCAACAGCTATGGCGCAAAATACCAACGCGAGTGTTGCCACATCAAATATCGCTGACACACCGCCTGGTGGAACACCGACCACTGTTCTCTCAGTGACAAATGAAAGGAGAACAATTGTGACATCCAGCTCATGAATTATGCATTTACTCTAACACATTATCGAGCCATCGCATACAATTATTACATCGACAACCATAATAAAGGTAAATATTACTGGAGGGTTCAGGCTGGTTCCACCTACGCAACGTATGTGATGCAACGCTCCTACGTTAGTGTACGTACACACTTGACCTATTTGTTTATGACGTCCTATGCCTAGGTACACACTGGTCGTACTCGTACGCGTGGGATTTAGGAGTGAGGCGTATTTATCGTAACAGATAAAAAACTAGTATCTTAAAATAGCAGATTGTTACTGTGACAAACCAACTGCTCCTGTTCCACTAGAATTCAAATCCACTACGAGTAAAAGACAGTCACAAGTTTTTCCTTATTCATACATATGACAGCTACCTTTGTTAGAATAAGATATAAAATGATACTGTGACACATTGTTACTCGTCACATGTTCTTTTCTTTTCTCGCAAAGGTTCAACATTTTAGTTAGAAATAGAAGTACTCTATAGGAGTATTTTTACAGAGCAGCCTGTCACTGTGACGAACTAAAAGCTCCTGTTCCGCGAAATAACACAATTCATTATAGAACAGTTACAAGCTTTTTTTTATTCAAACATGTGACAGTTGCCTTTATTAGAATAAGATAAAAATGTTACTGTTACACTGTGACACCCTGTTACAGTTGTCCCAATCTCTGTCCTTTTCTCGCATGGGTTCAACACCTTAGAAAGAGGAGTACCTACTAAGACTGTAGTAACAGACTGCTATTTCTTAAGACGACACCGCAAAAAAATGCACCTTCTTTCATCGAATAGTATAGAACTATGACATCACTAACGAAAGAGGAATTTAGATATAGGTAAATTCATGTCTTTGGTCTTTGAGTTTGCTTGTTGTAACACGATTGCATAATTTTGACTCCATCATAATTATTTACGACAAAACCTCTAAAAATCACTATAGTTGAAATTACAACGAAATTACTTAATATATTTTCATGCTTGGGAATCCCTCAAATATATTCATAACATCAATATTCATAATTTACTTGCTCATTATTTTGATTACTAAAATCAATAATTTTTTATGAATATTTTAAGATCCTGACAATTTCTAAGCGGTTTTAATCGTCGCGGGCGCTACTCAATTTTAGATTTAGACCTTATGACCGCGTTTTTTTTAAGTTTTTATAGAAATTATGTATTTACTTGGATCATTACGGCGTTAGCCCGGAGCTACTTTTTCGAAGTGTCTTCTTATTTATGTGGAACTGGAAAAGACGGAACACATATGCGTTTATGTGGAACTGGAAAAGACGGAACACATATGCGATTTCGCCTGTTACAGCCCCCTCCACACACTCTGTACGAACATCCCCTCCACCTTCTTACGCCGAACAGGATATCGCAGATTGACGTTACATCGAAAGCGTACGATTGCGTTGCATACGATAAGTGTGCTTTAAATGCTTAATTTTTAGTACAAAATCAAGGGTCAGATGCCATAATGCGTCGCATACTTTGCGTACGTGAGACCAGTCTGTGTCTATATTTTTTAGATTTTTTAAATTTCATGACACGTTCATTTTATGTATAGCCAGTAGTATTTACCTTAAAATTTATAATGTATAAAGAATTTATTGAAGCACATAACAAAACTGTGTAAGTAATGGAAAAATATTCCAGTGCAAACGAATATTTTCAAACAATTTTTATAACATTTTAATTTTCTATCTGTTCAAATACAGATACAAAATTGAAATCAGTTCTAAACGGTGGACCCCGGAAAGACAAATTATTTATTAAAGAATTAATCTTGTAAATAATTTTCAGTCTTCTTTGAGGACGTAAGACTGATAATTATTTTACTGAAATACAAGTGGCGTAGCACCAGTATGTTGTCACCCAGGGCTAGCAAAGATAGTGTTGCGCAGGTTACGTTTTTTTTAGAAATTTTAACGCTACTATGTTCGGTTTTTAGTTATTGAAAAAATCTTTTGAAATTCTTATTAGCCTTATTTAAAAATTTAAGTCGGGAACTAAATTTTAAATTCCAAAATGTCCCCCCGGGGGCAATGAACCCTCTGTTCCTATAAAATATTATAAAAAAATATAACTATATTGTTCTACCAATGCATTTATGGACGCTAAACAAATATGTATATAAAATAAAGGAACGTAACGTTAAGTGTTTGTATATACGATGTTACCTATTTGTAAAAATATATTATTTTGATAATATTTATATAATACATGATTAGGTTTTAAGAAGTACTTTGTTTTATTTATAACCTACTGTGATAGCAAAAGGGTGGTTTTAGGGTACTGCGAAGTGTGTAGAGTCTACACACGCGCGTCGCGATAGACATTGTTACTCTATCTACAACTTGACACGACAGAAAGCTACTATATAGTATATGATGGGTTAATAAAAAGTGTATTTTTTGCTCACGATCCCGTGAGAAAGTATTTGTTGTATCCTAATGACTGGCAGTGTAAGAATATTCCACTACTTCATATCGTCCCGTGAATATCGACAGAGGGAAACAAAGATTGGCAGCATCGTCTTATTAATAAAACTAGAAATTAAAAGCAACGGCAGTTGTTATCCTGCCTGCGAAGGGTGGCAACTGTGGCAAATATGGGAATATTGGCCATAGTTGCCACCCATATGGTTGTAGCACGAATGGGTCGGCTCGACCGGGGAAGGACCACGATCTCACGGAATACCAGCGTAAAATAGCAGCCTAATACTGCTGTGTTTCGTATTGTGAGTGTAGAGATCCGGAGACCCATTTTAACTGAAAACGAGGCAGTCTATCTTAGTCCTCAAGGGTGACAACGCATGTGCGTTTTGATTCTTAATCGAGGATAATCGACCGTGTGCTCGTTTGTCACCCTTATTCTATTATAAATAAAACCGGCCAAGATCGTGTCGGGCCACGCTCAGTGTAGGGTTCCGTAGTTTCCCGTCCGTCACAATAAGTGTTCCCACTTATGAGTTTGTACAAAAACTGTTCTTTCCATCCAAGTTCAAAATGATTTTCCTAGAAAGTCCTTATAAAGTTCTACTTTTCAGATTTTTTTCATATTTTCTAAACTTATGGTTCAAAAGTTAGAGGGGGGGGGGGGACACATTGTTTTTTATTTTTGGAGCGATTATTTCCGAAATTATTGACATTATCAAAAAATTATTTTAGTAAACCCCAACATATCACACGTTAGGGTTGAAATTAAAAAAAATCACTTCCCACTTTACATATAGGGGGCTACCCTAATAAAACATTTTTTTTCCAATTTTTATTTTACCACTTTGTCGGCGTGATTGATACACATATTGGTACCAAATTTCAGCTTTCTAGTGCTAACGGTCACAGAGATTAAGCGAGGACGGACAGACGGACAGACAGACATGGCGAAACTATAAGGGTGATCCTAGTTGACTACGGAACCCTAAAAATGAGGTAAAATATGAAAAGTGCAAGACAAACACAGGACTTTCAATATCTATATGTAACCAAGACCAGTCTTCGCTGCTGGTGATAAGAGGTCAGGTTAGTTTTTCGTAAAAAGACGAAGTACAGCCTATCACCGAGGAAACGCAGCCAGCGTTCTTGCTACGATACCACGGGGAGTAGGACTGTGTGGTAAATTTAAGTTTTTAGGTTTGGTTTTTCTTTATTAGTTTTTTACTATTGTATATATGTAAACGTTACATTAATAAGTGCTTTAATTTATTTTATAAAAAGTATAAGATAATGAACAAAAAGAATATGTTCTGTGAGTTGAAATGATCCACTTACAGCAACCACTTACCATCATCAGGTGGACGTGCTCTTTTGTCACCCTTATCCTTTAAAAACTAATCTAATTTTTTTATTTATTTAGTAAGCATAATTATGTTACATTATACAGTACAATACTAACATGTAATCTTCTATGGGCTTATCGACTCTAGAGAGTCGTCTTATATAATAAACTAGTATGACCGTTAACGCAAACTACTTTGAAATGTAAAGTTGTAATTTAAATTAGATATATTACATGAGTATAATCTGTCAAATTGAGAGTCAAATAAATTATTATTATTATTAAATCACAATATTCTAATATGAAGTAGCCACTACAATAAGTATGGTTGTTTAATAAATATGGTTTAAGTTTACTTTTAAACAGTTTTTATTTACTGTATGTTTTGTAATTATAGTGGCAAGTATAAAAGTAGGTACAAGTTAGGTAAAATAGGTATTTAGGACCTATAAATCAGTACCTAGTAACCAGATAAACACCTGTACTAATGCACGTAGTACATATCAGTGATTATTAAGTGTAATTAATTGCTCGATATCAAAGCAAGTAGAACGGTCATTAAAACTCATGTGTCGACATCCAGTCAGTTCTTATAAGGACATGCATACGTTAGGTTTTTAAATAAGTGTATTTGATCTAGATTCTAGATTTATTACCTTATTATAATCCGTCAAGAAACTTGAAAGAAAAAAACATGCGTGCAGCTCACACGCGACAGAAATGAAACCTTCAAATGAAATAAAATATAAAATACAAATACTTTACGGCAAATGATTTGTTTAATATTATAATTTAAACTACAACTTCGGCATAAAATATAAGAAAATATAATTTTATAGTAAATAAATGTAACAATCCTTTTCATATATGTATATATATTAGACACAGATGTTATATTACTCTTTTCGATACACCTTATGTATTCACTTACTAATTACAAAAATATTTTTATCAATCAGAATATACCTATTACGAAGTTGAGGTTTGACTGTTCTTCCCTGCTTGTTTATTCCAAAGACACACGACACTTTCATACCTTGTTGAACAAAACGCGTAAGCGACGCCGTTTCGGCGGCGTTTACGACTTTTTCTCGTCAGAATTGAGCTATAATCTATAATGCTTCCTATCTCATATTCTCCCACATTAAATCTTATGAATTTATCTGTCTGTCTCTTTTTCGTTTCATAGACTTTCAAATCACAGCGAC